ATGTCCAGTTCTTCAGTAGCATAATGCACTGCAGAGCCCGATGATGGCGCTGATGGCGAAGGAACATTTATGGCTAAAAGGGAAAGTGGCAGGTCAAATGACACTCCTTGGTTTCGTGGACTTGTGGACGGGAGCAAAAGGCCAGAGAGGAAAACCAGACAATGGTAGAGTGTATATCAAAGGACATTCAGGAGTTAAGAAGAGAGTGCGAGATAATTATACGAGGAGACATGAATGCTCACATAGAAGATATAGATGGGTATACCGACCCGACAGGCAAAATGATCATGGATATGTGTGAAAGGCTTGATTTGATCATTTGCAACAGTACCGAGAAGTGTGAAGGGCAAATAACATGGGAGGTAGGAAGGCTGCAGTCGACGATAGATTATGCACTGATGTCACATAGGATGTATGATAAGCTCAGGGGAATGCACGTAGATGAAGGTGGCTCCAGAAGTCTGGGTAGTGATCACAAACGTATCAAGCTAAGTTTTGGAAGAGCAGTGAAAGTGCGAAGGAGACAAGATGAGCAACTACAGGAAAATTTTTATTCAGAAAGGCAAATTGAAATAGCCACTAAACAAATTGAGAAAATAATCACGGAGGATAATAAGACAGTGTGGACATACATGAATCTAATTAGACTCTTTGAGCTAGAGCTTGCTAAGATGCGTAACAAGTCACCCCGGAAAAGAAGACATAAACCCAAAAGTTGGTGGGATGAGGAAGTTAAGAGAGCCATAGTGAAACGTCAGGAAGCCTCTAGGGAACACAGACATGCTAAGCAGCGGGGTGAACCGACAGATGATGTTGAAAGAAAATGGGAAACCTTTCTAAGCTGTAGAAGGGCTGCATCCCTTCTGATCAATGAAAAGATTAGAAGAAAGGGAGCTCAGTGGCTGGCAGAAGTACATAAAAAAGATAGAAAGGCAGCTGCGAAATTTCGGAACCATATAAACTCCCTAAGAAATGAGACGAGCCTAGAGCAGAGTTTTATAACTACAGCCCAAGGTGCCAGGCTAGAAGGGGACGAAGCTATTGAATATATAAGAACAAGGGTGACAGAAAAATTTCAACAAAGAAGTACTTTATGCACCACAATAGACAAGGACGAATCAAGTGGTGCAATGGCTCCATTTTCACAACGAGAGTGGGAAAGGGCTGAGAAAAGGGTTCCTAGTAGTACATCAACAGGCCCAGATGGCATTCCAATTAGGCTGATAAAGACATTAGGTCCGAAGTCTAAGCAGGCTTTGAGAGAGGCAGTGAGCAAAATAATAATCGATGATGAAGTTCCCGATGGATGGAAACTTAGCAGGATGAGCATGATCTATAAAGGAAAGGGGGACAAAGCTGACATAAACAACTACCGTCCTATAACAGTGACATCAGTGGTCTACAGGCTGGCGATACAGATTATAAAGGAAAGACTGCAGGCATGGATAGAGGATGAGGGGGTGCTGGGGGAACTGCAGAATGGGTTTCGGAAACACAGGAGGTTGGAAGACAATCTGTTCTCACTGACGCAGTGCATCGAAACTAGCAGAAAAGGAACACAGGTTCCTGTGGCTAGCATTTTTGGATATCAAGGGAGCGTACGATAGCGTGGTTCAAGAGGAATTGTGGGGAATACTGGACACACTAGGCGTGGAACATGTAGTCACTAATCTTTTAAAGGGTATCTATAAAGGTAACAAGGTAGTTATAAAGTGGGAAAAACAGGTATCCAAGCCTGCAGAGGTAAAACGGGGGCTTAGGCAGGGGTGCCCCCTGTCACCCTTATTATTCATGATGTACCTACAAGGATTAGAGGCAAAATTAGAGGGAAGTGGACTGGGCTTCAACCTCTATTTAGTCAAACAAGGAAAACTTATTGATCAGGCACTGCCAGCATTAATGTACTGCAGATGATATAGTGCTAATGGCCAACAACAAGGAAGATTTACAGAGATTGATGGACATCTGTTGTAATGAGGGAGATAGGTTAGATTTTATATTCAGTAAGGAAAAATCAGCAGTCATGATTTTCAATGACAACGAAGGTAGTGAGCTTAGAATACAGGAGGTCACGCTAGAGATAACAGATAAATACACATATCTGGGCGTATGGATAAGCAATGAAACCGAGTATCTGAGGGAACACGAAATATACGTGACGACTAAAGGTAACAGGAATGCAGCAGTCATGAAAAATAGGGCACTGTGGAATTACAATAGGTATGATGTTGTTAGAGGAATACGGAAAGGGGTCATGGTTCCTGGGCTGACGTTCAGAAATGCGGTCTTGTGCATGAGATCAGAAGTTCAAGCAAGATTAGAAATTAAGCAACGTGGAATAGGCAGGCTTGCTTTAGGAGCTCACGGGAATACACCAAATCAGGGAGTACAAGGTGATATGGGATGGACACCATTTGAGGGCAGGGAAGCTAGCAGCAAGATAAAATTTGAGAAGCGATTGAGAGAAATGGGGGAAGGGCGTTGGGCTAGGAAGGTTTTCAGCTACTTGTACATGAAGAATGTGGATACAAAATGGAGGAAGCGAACCAGGAAGTTGACTGGTAAATACTTAGAAAACAGCAGGTGGCCAAACCAAAAAGAACTATCGGTTAAGAAGAAAGTGAAGGAAACGGAGACTGACATGTGGAGAATGGGCATGATTAAGAAGTCCGCACTAGAGATCTATCGAACTTTTAAGCAGGAAATTGCCAAGGAAAAGATCTATGATAATACTCGGGGTAGTTCTCTACTGTTTGAGGCCAGGACGGGAGTACTGCGAACCAAGACATATCGGGCCAAATACGAAGGGGTAGACACTGTATGCAGTGCGTGTGGAGAGGAAGAAGAAACTGCCGAACACTTGATAATGTTCTGTAAAGGGCTTCACCCTATAGTTCAGGATTATGGCGCAGAGTTTTTCAGAAGCACTGGGGTTTAGGGACCGGGAGGGCAAAATAAACTTTAAGCGGGTAGACTTAACTAGAAGGAGGTTATCTGATTGGTGGCTAAAGTCAAGGCTACGAGTGAAAATTAAACTCTTCACTGCAAAGTATGAATCCTCAAACTCACTTTTTAAGGAAAAAAAATAAATATAGTTTTTGGTTCATTAGGTATGACGGCTTGGTGGCGCTAGCCATCGCCCGATCTAAAGGGTACAAGCCATATCCATCCATTCATCCTGAAAACTTGGGCCACCTGTGTGCCCGGATTTGGGAACGCAGTTCTGCAACTCTTATAATTGCATAAGTCTGAATTTTAAGCCATTCTATCGAAAGCTTTAGAGTAGTCTAGAAAGATAGAATAAGTTTAAACATTGTGGCTATGAAGATCATGAACTAAGCAGGTATTTGTGGTTCACTCAGAAGCACCTAATGAAAACCAAAAGTATGAAATAAGTTTATCAAGTTTTTTTTAAAACTTCATGAGTATTTAACAGTTTATCGTAATAGCTCATGATAATTGAGTGTGATGCATTCTTGTTACACTTATACGATTATCACTTTCTTGGCTTGAAATGATGATTATCAATGATTACCAATTTTTTGGCAGCAATTGATTATTTTTGTCAAATAATTTTGAAGCGAATGCAAATTTGGTAATGGGGTGCAAGTTATGGGTGGTAAAATACATTGTTTCAAATATTTACTTTACTTGGCCGATACAAGTACAACATCCTTCTAAAGTTAATTAGGCCACTGGTAATGTCCAGACTAATTATTGGGGACATAACATAATCAACCAAGAGTGAGCGGTTTTCAGCTAAAAATAGAAGTCGAGAATTCATTATCTGCACATGTGAAAAATGAACTGCAAGGTAATACTCACGGGCAAAGTAAGCGCTACATGTCGCCAGCTAGAAACCCCGCCCACCACCACTAACCGTCATTTTTCCATGGCATGTGGGATGTCATGAGCTGCATGGAGCCTAGCCGTCGCCCTTTACCAAAGTTTCAGTCGCAACAAATATTTCTATATCACTGCGAAGCTAAAGAAAGGTGGCAGCTCTACTGCGTGCACAAGTGAGTGCGCAAAAATTGTTGGCCAGATTGCAAACACCTGCATAGCATGCAGCTTCTTATGATGCGGCTCATGAGCGCATCAGTGTTGCCCTGACTGTCAGGCCGCTTGCATGTGTATAAAGCTATTCAATTGTAATTTAATTGATCTACCAAATGCACTAAAACTTTGCCAGCTTGTTTGTGAGTGCACAAGAATTCATCTGCATAGCACCGATTATGATAGAAAATTGGCTATCATGACCCCTTTAAATTTGAAGTGGGGATTTATGGAAGCGGCGATTTCTCCAGTATAGCCAGTCGGCTGCTCACCCAGAGGTCGCAGGCTCGATGCCGGCTACGTCGGTTTGATGGAGGCCAGACGCCTGCGTACTATGCGATGTCAATGCACTGGAAAGAACACTGCATAGTCGAAATGTCTAAATTTATGTAGCCCTCAACTACAGCATGCCTGATAATTATGTGATGGTTGGGGATGCATAAAACACGAGTATTATTAGTTAAGGTGGTTTAATGGCACAGGGGTCTCGTGCTGCTGCAAAACGACCTTTTCAGGCAGCCTATATATAGTAAAATGCATCTTTTTGTTCATTTTGAACACTTAAGATATCGGAATACTTCTGCAAAAGAAAACTTACATGCTACTATAGTATCGATCTGATAATTTGAAGCACTCAGGTGCCCACACAGACCGAATTCTTACCTTGAGCAGTTTCCTGGTGAAATTATTGTATACTGCTACTGCAAGAAACTGAGAAGGTATGCAAGTCTGAACATTCGTTCAGAAGGTACAATAACATGCCCGAGTGACCACTTGCTTAATGTCATCACTTGCCATTCCAATAAATTCAGAAAAAACCATGAAAATAAACTGGAGTGCCAGCTTACGTTCTCACTCACTGCAATGTCCAGCCAATCCAAGGCCCTGCTAGAGTGTGCTGTGGATGTGCCCTGCCCTAACCTAAGTCGTTTCGTTATGTGCAGGCATTAGAGATAGCCACCATGACCACCATGTGGACCTTCCAAAGAGCGACTATGCATTCGAGATGGCCTGCTCCAACATTCGCTATGGACCCGGGGTGACCAGAGAAGTTGGAATGGTCAGAGGCTTCACTTTGCATATTTTTCAAAACTGGCCATGTGAGGGTCGTGTCCGGCTTCGATGCTAGCTAGGCCTCTTGTGGATGCCTGCATGCGATCACGCAAATAATCAGATCCATGAAGTTTCATGCTAAGAAACTGCGCTCAAATAAGCTTTGTCCACGAACACAAACCGCTAGTAAAGTGCACTTTGCAGGCTAGTGATGCGTTTCTGAAAAGGGGCATTCTACCACTATGCAGTATCACATAATAAATCAATGAAAAGCTGAAGTGTCTGCATATTTCGGTAATTTAATGTAGTTACTTTTAAATGTGGGCTCTGGCTATCGTGTGTCCTGATATGCTGATAACTGTTTGTGCATTTTTATTGAGTATGTGTGTTTCTTTTTAAATGAAAGGTTTTGGTAATCTGTATGCAATATGTTATACCTTTATGTACTACTTTTTCTGACTGCCTTATCTTTACCCATTCTGCCTGCCCCTCTCGTTTTGGCATAGCTAGAAAAGAAGACGCCCAAGTTATGAGTTTTACCACTTTGATGTCTGGCATGCATGCTAATTTTTGCCTGTGCCAGCTGTACATTAATGGAAACTCGCTTTGCCACTATCCTGCACAAAACAGACTTATTAATTATTACTCAGGTCCTGAACCCGCTTCAATTGTGTACAAGCCCATTGAGCAAGTAGTGCAAGTTTTGTGGTTCTTTAACTAGATAAAATGCTGCAATATGATTTTCTATTGTTCTGTAGTCTATATATATTTTCTATATAAATATTTCCTGTATTTCTATATTTCTATAGTTCTGCACATTGCTGTATATAATACTGGCGCCACCCATACCAATTTTTCGGCTGCTCCTGCGCTTGGAATGTGGTTTTCTTTGCGACATCAGTCGTGTGACCACTCTAAGTGGTTTCTTTTAGGCTTGTGCGAGCATTCGAATGCTTCAAATATTTGAACAAATATTACTGTATTCAAATTCAGTTTGATTTGAATTGGAATTGTGGAAAATCTCGAAGTATTTGAAATTAACGAACAAATGAATGTTGGTCCACATATGACTCCTGTAAAGTTGGTTTCACCACAGTGGAGGGTTGCAGAGTTATGAAAGCACCTATTGAAGTATGTAGTATTAAGTCGCATTTAATTTCCTGTAAGGTGATTTCACTGTGGTGAAGGGGTGCAAGCCATGAAAACAATTATCTAGGAAAACTCTCACTGCCACAAAGCCCCTCTTCAAGGTTAAGTGAGCACATTACCCCCACATCAATTCATCATCTTTCAAGTTTAGAAACTTAATATATGCCATATTACATGCTCTAAGTATACGAAACGTTGAAACATATTTTACAGGTTATCACTTGCATTCTAGGGAAAGTAAAATGCAGTGATTATTCAAAATAGTTACCACTTTTTTCGAACCAAAAAGAATGGCATTCACGCAGTCATTGTTTCAAGTTTAAAAAGTATTGTGCAGCTTAGCTGGGTCGTTACAAATATGCCCATTTTTTTTTTTTTTAGGGGCGAAGTTCCTTACACCGTTGGTCATATGTCCCGTGTCATCATGGTAGTCCTAGTAGGCAGTTGCATTGCATTGCATGTGAATAAAAACGGTGTCAGAGCATATCCATGGAGTGAATGATGATGAGTGGGGTGAAGTGTCTGTGCATCGGTCCGTGCTTCCATGCGTCCTTCGTTCGTCCATCTATTTGTCTGTCCGTCCATTCATTTGTGCTTCGTTCACTCATCATCATTCACCTCGTGAATAAGCTGTGATTCTTTTTAACAATGTGGATCAGGAAACAAACTAGGGTTAAGGATATCATAGTTGAAATCAAGAAGAGGAAATGGACATGGGCCGGGCATGTAGCGCGTAGGTAGGATAACCGCTGGTCATTAAGGGTAACTAACTGGATTCTCTGAGAAGGCAAGCGAGTTAGGGGGAGACATAAAGTTGGGTGGGTAGATGAGATTAAGAAGTGTACTGGGTATAAAATAGCAGCAGCAAGCACAGGACCGAGTTTACTGGGGGAACATAGGAGAGGCCTTTGTCCTGCAGTGGGCATAGTCAGAATAATGATGATGATATATTATTCAAACTTGATTTGAAATTACTTGACCAAAATACAATTCGCTTCGAATTCACTTAAAGCCTGAAGTACACTATTTTCACAGGCCTAGTTTCTTCGCATTTTTATTTGTGGGGAAGAGGCGAGCAGCAGTATTTTTGGCGGCATATGGTTGCACGAAGATCGACTAGACAAAATGCAGTACACTTTGCTATCTTTTACACGCCAGCAGATAATTACGTAAGGTTGAGCTGAGTATTTACTGCAGGGCAAAAAAATGGAGGCAGTAAAGCACAGCTTAGGAGGAGCATAACGTTGCCTTGCTTATACTAGCACTTTCAGTACATGATGCCTTGTTTAAAATTTTGGTGAGAATGATTTCTTGTGGTTCTGGCTTCACAACTTACTTGATTTTAAAAAACTGTCTTAGGAACCCTTTAAACTCGATTAGTGCATTACGCGGGTCCCCTAAATTTCTTTTCCTGGCATCACTCAGGATATGAACAATCTTGGGGCGAAGAATGTCTGCCTCATGACGGACCCAAACCTGGTGAACTTGCCGCCTGTTCGAGACACCTTGGACTCCCTGCACCGGCACAATGTCAACTACAGCCTGTTCAGCGAAGTCTGCATTGAGCCCACAGACGAGAGGTGCGTACCACATTGCTAATGCAGCCAAATTGATTACAAAGGTGACATAAATGCCACTGTTAACATAAAAGATCTCACGGTGATGAAAAATAAGGCAGACAAGAAAGTTGTCTGTGCTTTCACTAGAGTGGAGATGTTGCCTTTCAATTCGGAACACTGCTTGTCCTAAGCAAGGGATAACTGGTCAGGTGTGGTTAGTATTCTACCAAACTAGTTCATTTGTGCATCAGCAGTCATCCATAATTATTTATATGAAGGCAGGATTACTTTTATAATTTTGCTATTGATCAAGTACAAAGTTTGATTACAAATTGTCTGGCTGTGAACTACGTGTGAAGTATGAAGTAAAAGCTGATGATGGGGCAAAGCAGTGTGAATTGGATTATGAATCGTGGCCTTATGTTTGGTTCTGGTTACCAGCCTTTTATTTTGTTTTTGTTAACCTTTTGTTCTATATTGACACGTGTTTATATGAAAAAGAACGATGATAGGAATGTTTTGTAGATTCCAGCTAGTGGGTCAGGTGGTTTTTCGGGACGACAACGAAGCAGGTATCTTGCTGTACAGCTGATCCCGAATACGCTCTTTTCGCTGCCGTAAGCTGCTGTCATCTTTTGTTCGCGTTGCACTGCGACACTGGTGGAAGTGCTGGGCCGCGACGCTGCCCGATGCTTCACACTCCTAGTGGGAGCCGTTCATCCAGCCCGGACGTGCCTACTGCAGCCCCTGTCCACCGATTCAGTCGTCGGCTACGAGGTATTCCTCTAGACTGCAACCCCTCGCAGAAAACCTCTACCAGACATCTAGAAATGGCTAACACCAGCCCCCAGCCTGTACTTCTCGGCACCAGTCCTCCCGCTCCATCCCAGGTAACGTTTTTTCAATCGCTGGAGCCTAAACGCTTTCTTTGGTGGTGACGCACACGAAGATGTACAAGACTGGTTAGACCACTATGACCGTGTTGGGAAGATCAGCCAGTGGTCTGCTCAGGAAAAGCTCGGCCGGGCCTACTTCTATCTCGATGACAGCGCTCGTACTTGGTATGAGAACAGTGAAGGCAGCCTGTCCACATGGACCGACTTTCACCAGAAGATGGTTGAAACTTTTGCCAATGTCGACAGACGTGACCGCGCCCACCAACTACTAGAGCTAAGGGTCCAAAAACCCAATGAAACGGTCGCCATGTTCACCGAAGACATGACATGTTTATTTCGGAGGGCTGACCCGCAGATGACTGAAGATAGGAAGTTGCGCTACCTCATGCGTGGCGTGAAAGAGCAGCTGTTCGCCGGACTTCTGCGCAACCCGCCAAGCACTGTAGAGAACTTCATCAAAGAAGCATCGGCTATCAAGCGGGCCCTTCACCAACGCTGCCGACAATATGACCGCTTGTGCAGCAGCCCCCAAATTCAGGCCGCCGCTGTGTACGTTTGATAGTCATAGCTCCTTACGTGACATGATTAGAGAGACTGTTCGTGAAGAACTGCAAAGGCTGCGGACTCCGGTAGTGGATACACCCATGGCATCTGTCGCTCAAGTCGTCCGTGACAAAATCCGCCAAGCATTCTCGACAGCTGATCCTGCCCCTGAACAACGTCCCATGAGGTACGCCGCCGCCCTTCGAAGCTCCCCACCCGCTCCGCCTTCATACTACCCGCCACCTGCAACTGTTCCTTGGTAACCACTACAGGGGGAGACATTGTGGCGCCCACCCATCCAGCCCCCATACGACCAGTCGTCTTCTGGCCTGCCATGGCCTTCGTCGCGTGAGGAGTCATCACGGCAACCACAGCTTCGCCGAACAGACACCTGGCGCACTGCCGACAGACATCCACTCTGTTTTAACTGCGGAGGTGTAGGCCACATAGCCCGCTATTGCTGGCACAGCTGCCGATCCGTCTCGCCTCTCAGGCCACGGTTTGACATTCGACATGCCAACGAGTACGTATCCCGCCGTGGCGATGTCGGTTCTCAAGGACCTCCGGTACATCGACCCCCATTCGACGGCCGCCGTAACAATGATGACGAGACTATAACTGATTACGAGCGGGTCTTCCGACATCGACCACGCTCTCCTTCTCCTGCCCAGTCACCTTCGTTGCACCGCCACACTTTTGCCGACACCAGAGGAGCGAGGTCACCCAGCCCACACCGGGGAAACTGAAGGCGGCGACCTCAGGGGGTAGGGTTGCAGGCTGTCAAGACGAAGAAAAAAAGCCCCCATTACTCCCACCTCAGGACGCTGTAAAGCCGACAAGACGTAATACCGACGAAACTGTGACCCCAGGCCTTACCGTTCTTGTGGATGGACAGCAAGTCAAAGCTTTAGTTGACACCGGGGCTGACTTCTCTATTATCAGTGATGACCTCGCCGTACGCGTCAAGAAAGTAAAGACAGCGTGGACTGGGACCTCGCTTAAGGACGGCAGGCGGCCAATTACTGATGCCTGTCGGAATGTGCACAGCAAGGCTCGACATCGGTGGCTCTGCTTTCGTGGCGACATTCGTCGTTCTCGCTTCATGCTGTAAAGACCTGATTATCAAAATGGATTTCTTGAGAGAACATGGCGCCGTCATCAACATCCCTGACAGTGTCATTACATTTCGCAATAACAGCCCTACTTTAGTCGATTGTTCAGAGCCGAGACATGCGTCTTGTTCAGGGCCTTTGCGTCTGACGGATGACGATGTGGTAGTCCCGCCACGATCGTGTACGCTTGTTTCGGTGGCAGGGGATGAGCCGTTTGAAGGCGATGGTATTGCTGACCAAATAAGCTCACTGATATTTAGCCACGATATTTCAGTTGCTCGAGGTCTTGTCACTGTCACTGCTGGACGCACAAACTTGCTGCTCACTAACTTCAGTACTGAGCGCCGACATCTCCCGAAGGGTACAGCCGTCGCTTACTTTGACACTACTGCAAAAATCCAAGGCAGTTTATCGGCCCTAGACGAAGCACCTCAACAAGAATCAGTACCTAATCTTCACGTTGGTACTACTAAGTCAAAGGACGAACGAACGAGACTTCTTGAGCTGCTAGCTGAATTCCAGGACTGCTTTTCATCGACATCACGGGTCGGTCGAACGCCGCTAACAAAGCATCGAATAATTACCCACGACGCAGCAAGGCCTATACACCAGAATCCTTATCGTGTGGCTCCAAAGGAACGGGAAGTGATACAGCAACCAGTCGCTAAAATGCTTGAAGATGATGTGATTCAGCCATCACAAAGCCCGTGGACATCGCCTGTAGTATTAGTTAAGAAAAAGGACAGTACCCTGCGTTTTTGCGTGGTTTACAGGAAGCTGAATCAAGTGACTAAGAAAGATGTGTATCCGCTTCCACGTATTGATGACTCCCTCGATAGGCTTCGAAACGCTCGCTACTTTTCTTCAATGGACCTCAGAAGTGGATATTGGCAGATCGAGGTAGACCCAAGAGATCGGGAAAAACCGCTTTTGTGACGCCAGATGGTTTATATGAATTTAAAGTTCTACCTTTCGGTCTGTGCTCAGCGCCCGCTACTTTTCAAAGGCTCATGGACACTGTACTTTCAGGGTTAAAATGGAAGACCTGTTTAGTTTATCTCGACGACGTCATAGTGTTTCCCCCAACTTTTGACGAGCATCTCAAGAGGCTAGAAGTTGTTTTACGAGCCATACGCTCCGCAGGCCTCACATTGAAACCAGAGAAATGCCACTTTTGTTTTGAAGAACTGCTGTTTCTTGGCCATGTCGTCAGCTGTACCGGCGTTTGGCCTGATCCCGAAAAGCTTGCGGCCGTGGCACAGTTCCCAGTACCGTCCGATAAGAAAGCTGTCAGGCGCTTTCTGGGCCTATGCGCCTACTATCGCCGGTTCATTGCCGACTTCGCACGGATTGCGTCGCCGTTAACTCGCCTCACTAGAGACGACGCCACCTTTGAGTGGAACCTCGAACAGCAAGCAGCGTTTAATGACCTCCGCCGTCTTCAAACACCTTCAGTGCTTGCTCACTTCGATGAACAAGCGCCAACAATGCTTCACACTGACGCAAGCAATGTAGGCCTCGGAGCTGTGCTTGTGCAGTGGCAAGAAGACACGGAACGAGTGATCGCCTACGCAAGCAGGACGCTAACATGCGCTGAGGCCAATTATTCAACAACTGAGAAAGAATGCCTCGCCGTGGTCTGGGCAGTTATGAAATTTCGCCCGTATTTGTATGGCCTGCCCTTTCAAAGTTATAGTGACCATCATTCCCTCTGTTGGTTGACTAATTTAAGAGATCCAACCGGCCGATTAGCACGGTATAGTCTGAAGTTACAAGAGTTTGATATGACGGTCATACACAAGTCTGGGAAGCGCCATGCGGACGTCGACTGCCTGTCTCGATCACCAGTACAGTCAGCTTCTTTTTCTGACGACGACGATATGGCCTTCCTTGGTGTTCTTAACGCGTCCACGATTGCCCAACAACGAAGTGACCCTGAATTGCTTGATTTGATTAATTACGTGGACGGACGTTCTTCGAGGGCACCTAGAGTCTTTGCAGGGACATTATCGTCGTTTTGCTTACGCAATGGCGTCCTCTACAAAAGAAACTTTTCATCCATCGGAGCTCCCTATTTGCTCGTTATTCCTGCACCCCTTCGAACTGAAGTGCTCCAAGCATGTCACAATGAGCCGACGTCTGGCCATTTAGGCTACACTCGCACATTGGCACATTGACAAGAGTACAGCAGGGATACTACTGGCCACGACTCACAACAGCCGTCAAGCACCACATTCACACTTGCATCGATTGCCAGCGACGCAAGTCACCTCCAAAGAGACCCGCGGGTCAGCTGCAACCAGTTCAGGTTCCACGTACACCGTTTGAACAGATAGGAATGGATATTTTGGGACCCCTTCCAACTTCTACTGCAGCGAATCGCTGGGTTATAGTCGCAACAGACTACCTAACCAGGTATGCCGAAACAAATGCTATCCAAAAGAGCACCGCAGTGGAAGTGGCGAGATTT